ATATTGGTAATTTTAGTCCGTTCGTACAAAAAATTGTAAATAATTAAATAAGCATTTTTGGAGAAAACGAAATCGTACTAACCCTTTGCACTCGAGAGCGTTTTAACGTTTCGCTCCACCAACTCGGTAATCGTAGACAGAATTTAAGATAAAAATTGCACAATTAAAACAGAAGAAACATCATATTTTATCAGTTACATATCAATTTACACATTTATAATTTTCTATGCCAGTAGAGCTGGAATATCGAGTGCAAAGGCTTAATGGTTTTCGTTATAAAAAATACAAATACACCACTCACCATCAGGAGGCACAAAATCTTCGCTAAAACGGCAAGCTGTGGTAACCTGCAACAAACGAAAAACACCCGAGTTAAATTATCGGCTGTTTAATTCAAACATGAGAGGCGTAAAGATCGTTCTTCGATCGTTACGTGATACATATGAAATATTATGTACAAAGAATGAAAAACAGTTCCATAATTGACGTTTGCCGTTGTATCTGTAAAATTTCAATTTGCAACACGCAACCTAATCGTTCACGATCTCCGCATGATTTACCGTATGCAAATAAATTTCACGTGATTACGGAGTACGGACTCACGTGACGGAGGTTACTATTAGTAGTGGTATAAATTGAAAGGATGGGATGCGGTGGGATCGCTTCTGACAGATAAGAAAAATACATATGGGATAATTAGCGGTGAAAATAAATTCTGGTGGACATTTTGTACGCGGCGTGTGTGTGTACCTGCTTCACGGTTTTACTTTCCTTCTCAGATGTTAATATTTTTTTCTTTGACTCATTTTTTAAATAAAAACACCGAAATATTGATTTTTCAGTTTGGAGGCAATAGAAAAGATTTGACATTTTATAACGTAAATCGGTATCGTTAAATAATTAACAGACTACCAATGAAACCTACGAGTACGTTATTTCGAGGATTGTGTCTCCAAAAATTGAATTATTTTGAAAATATCTCTTGTCATATATACAGCGATTTTGTAGTGTAAAACAGTTTCTTTCATTGCAAAGTACTTGTACAGTGAATTTTATACAGAATAAAGGCGTTTATAGTAAACAACAAGTACTATCTATTATTAGTTTCATAAAAAGAGTTGTTCACTGTGTAATAAAATTAAAAAAAAAAAATGTAAAATACAATAACATTTCAAATTCAAATTATTCAGAGATCAAATTACAAGGTAAAACTACTCAACCGAATCCTCCAATTCCGGAGAACACAGAAATATAAACTATTCATCGTACACCATACGCAATAATTTTCCTTAATTATCTTCATTCATAATTCCCACGTTTACATTGACTCTTTCATTTTGTATGCTTTAGCGTAAATCTGAAGAACAGAGTAAACAGAGAATCATCCGGAAGTACCGTATGATTTCACATCAATCGCCACGTTATTGACCTGGTAAAGAAGAAGTTGGTTTCACTTTTCACAGTCTATGAACTCTCGTTGGCCGCTGTCCTGAAAGAGTCCTCGGCCCCGAGCTATCCTCGGTTCAAGTGTCCAACGAAATATTAAATTAAAAAAGAAAAAGGACGTGTGATTAATTTGCTCCAGCGATATCACCGTTGGAGGAATAAAAGGGAAAAATTAAAAGTATTATAATACCATAGGGTGCCGTGGGTTGTAAATAATAACCTAGTTGCGTACGAGGTACGTGCGGTGAACCACTGCAACGAGTTGCATAATGTGAATGCATCTCGTGTTACAGAACACAGGTGACCAGCAACACCGGGCGGCAGCAATGACGTCGTGAACGTTCATTACCCGTTCACTTTAATTCGACTGGGTTTATTGGCTGGTGAGTGGAATTGCGGGGTGGACCAAACGTTTCTCTATTCTTTCGTATCATCCCACCTACCACGTTCCAACGCAAGCACCTTGATGCGCTGCGTGGAATTCCGTTTGTCGTGTTAGTGCTCTTAAACCGTTTACTTTATTTTGCCCACGTCAACTGAATCTTCGTAGAAAACGACGGTAAACATTCCTATCGAATCGCTTGGGAACTGTTTCAACACAATGTAACGTAATTCTCTGGGAAATTTATTTTTTTAACCGTCGTCCTCCGCTGTGCGCGTGTGTGTTCACGAGAGATTCCGAGTATTGTTGTTTCAACGATACGAGCGTGAATATCGTTTTCATAGTGATAGGTAAAAGTGCAAAATTTCAATTCTTTTGGTTGTACAAGGTGGCTCGCGTAACACGTGACTGTCTTCTCTACACAGCTACGACAGTGTGAGAAAATTTGTACAGATGAGTGATTTAAATGGTTTCAAAGGCTGAATACGATGGAAGACCATTTTCTTTTTTAAACGCCATCTTCCTCTGCTTTTTCTTCGGATCGATAATATGGCCTTAAAATGGTGGACTCTAATATTTCAAATCAAACGCGACACTTCCTTCATCTTCTGCTATTTCTTCCACAAAAGAAAACAAACTGTTCTTCCATCTTATTCATCTTACCTCTTCAGCGGAAGAAATGGAAAAAAAAATGAAAGCTGGTTTCACATTTGATTTCAAATTTCAGAGCCTAAGGTCATTTTAACGTACGGTAGAAAAATATATATAAATTTATGTGAAAAGAAGGTAGACGACTTTGAAAAAGGGAAACAAATGGCACTTATCGAAACCATTCAAATTACGTACGAAAATTGTCTCCTAAGCTAGAGAAGATAATCAGGTATTTTTTCTACCTGGCCCACCCTGTATATCGTCGATGTTTCATTCGAAAGAATTTACAAACACTTCGTCCCCAGCTATATTGGCTTACATAATTGCAAACTTAGTCACAGTAACGTTTTCTGCTGACAACGCCTGCTAATCATCTTATTAACGGCTACGTATCAAGATGAATAGATAAATATGCTTGTTCGTAACTCGATACGACGGTGTCCAAGGTATCGACAGGTATAGGATGCATTAACATTCGAACTTCTCGACATGTGTTACGTAACGAATTAAATGTTAAAACGGCAATGTTTTTATTGGCAATCGCCAGCGAAGAAAAGAGGGAAAAGGATAGTTGACGAGGAAAATTTCTAACAGCGTAGACTATATGGCACCAACCGCTATAAACGGCAGCACGCTCTCCGTGAAAAATCCAGTATTTCCAGTATTTCTAGTATTGATGACAAGAGTCATCGAGGCCGAACGCGAAGGTGGGTCTTCGGGGGCGATTCCGCCATTCCGAAGACTTCCATGACGCGCATCGCGAGACTCGAAATGTCTAATTAAACGCTTCTGTTCGGGCGGGGTACATAATTCCATAATACTTGTACTTCAAATTTTACACCAAACAAGTGAATTATTTATCGGAAATTCACTCGATGAATTATTTTGAGGAATTTAAGAAACTTGCATTACCCTTAAGATTATTTAACGATAAAACGGGAAAAGGTTGGATTGAAATTATACGGATGAAATTGCACGGTACTTAATAGTAAATATTATACGCGCGTTCAGTGCAAATAGTATATCAGTTGTAATGGAAGAATTGTTTTTTAACCCTGAGAACACTGTAATCTATGCTTTGCAAGCATAGAAATTATCAAACGCACTGTGTACACGCAACACGACAGCCTGGAAATAACTATTTTAAAGAAAATAACGAATAAGAGAATAATAGTAGAGAAATAATAATATTACAAAATTTTCCGGGGTAATTGAAATTTTTAGTGGCGGGATAATTAAAACGACAGGGCGAATATGGTATAAAAAATTGTAACATATTTCAGGGAAACAGATATGTGATCAAATATTTCAAGTTTTCCCAAATTAATCCTTATTCCTTAGCATTCTTAGAATCCTTACAATTCGATACGATCGAATCTAACTGAACAAACCTTTAAGAGCTCTAACGCACAATTTACTGAATTTTCATAATTTGTTGGTGTTCGATTTCGCGATAAATTAGTGTCAACCGAAATTTTCGTGAAATACGCGGTTACTGTTAAATTAACGCGTATTATTAGTATATAAAGGGGTAATTTTTATATATTCTTTCATTTTAAATTAAAAACATACTTTGACCAGTATACCTACGACATATTCAATACATTTCTTATTTTTGTCAGACAGTGTTTTTAATAAAATTCCTAACTTAAATTCATTATTTTAAAATTGTGAAAAATGCATAAAATATTTCTAATTCTACAAAATTCCAATTACCACGAGATAAAAAAAAAACGTTACGAGATGAAACGATTAATAAGACGAAAGGTAACTGTATATAATAGAAATGTTTCGTTACAGATTTACTCGAATAACAGTTTATACGTTACTTTAACGTGCCATTAAATATTGCGATAACTCACCAAATTGCCGTAAACATATCTGCGCGTCACCACTCTGAAGCATCATCTCCATCCATGCATTAAGTAAGAAGAATTATGACACTGATTTAACTTAATGATTGAAACGTTTCCTTTCGTTCTTACGTCTAAAAGTCCGACGAATAGCTAACTTTCTGTTACTGTTATAACGCAGATAACACAATTTACGGCCAATAAATATCACACTACAATATACCGGATTAATCATATTCCACAGCCAAATGTTTCCGAACTTCCCACATACAATCGAAATGCAAAGAAACTGACAGCAACGTTACATCGAACTCGGTATAAATCTTCTTTAAACGTTCCCACAGTTAATTCGACCAATTTATTGCCAATTTCTATCGCGCGACAGCTAAGCAAATTCTTCTACGAATTTACCCGGATTAGATTCGATTATGCCGTATCGATGTCAATGGCTTCGTAATGTTGACGTAATGGATAAACACTTGCGACGGTGGGAGTGGTTCGACCTAAAACTGTCCGCGTATTCCGTCTGGTATTAAACAATCGATTGATCATTCCCCGTTACAATACGTATCAGACCGATCGATCACCGCTAAATTTTCACCAAACTCTCATACCTATCTCGTATCGAATCGTGATTGTCAAAATGAACGAAATGATAAACAGAGTCGCAAACCCGTGTATATACAGCTATACGTCACTCGGATTTAGCTGTTTCGCCGAAAAGTATCGCGCGAGACGTTCAATTAAACGACGATCGAGGGGATCCGGAAGAGAAGCACAACCCGATTGCGCCGTGGTTTGTTGTCACCGACGCGAGATCACCACGATGAATGCTACCGAGGACACAATCCGGCGTGACATCCCCAGCCACGTGGGGACTCATCTACGGGGGTTTTAGTGGGGATATTTGTCGCCCGTCGCGTGAAAAACTGCCAACACTTGAATAGGCCCCGACACGCCGATGAAAAACGCGGCTACCGACCCGACGCCGATGGCTCTCAGCTGGACACCGCCTGTCGGCTAGATGCCCTATGTGGATGTTGCGGACGATGATTCCTTCATCCTCCCTAACAAGCAACCTCGTCTTTGATAGTCATTCTTCTCAGACGATGCTTCTTCTGTCTGACAACGCGCGACATTTCAGAAACTTCTTTATTCCCGATGAATTTCCCACTTACTCCGTTTGTACATATGGTTTCACGCGGGAAATCAACGTGTGACTGTGTCTACGTTAAGATGTAGACAATGGGTGAAATTTGATGTCAGTGGTGTCACTAACGTTTCAGCTTTATTTTATTCGTCACGCTTACTCGGAAGCTCCACTTTTCCGATTTTTCTGCGGAAACCTCGATGACTCGGTAACGTTTAAATAGCTTTCGCGAATAGAGAAGCAGAAAGCCTGTTTAATCGGCTTTTGCTAATCTCTGTAATCCTCTTTTCGCTAGAGTTTTGGGACTAAAGTGTTTATCCGTGTTTCGTGAATTTTGCGGCGTATCGTATGGTACCAGCGGAAATTGAAATTTTGGAGAACCCTGTGACACATATCTCGCTGTTCACCTTTATAACGAATGCTCTTAATTTTACTATATGTGCAAACTAATTTCCATTCAATTTAATTATTAAAATGTTCCGAAATTAATACTTGTATCCTCCTTACTTAACAAAATTTACGCTAGATAAATGTATCACAATTTGTCACACTTTTCGTTGGGTACGTTAGGTATTCGTGACAAATGTCACACGGAAAACCTCTGGGCGAATGGAAAAGCGAAGAAATATATCGACATCTCAGTTAAAGAAACCGCAAAATTTACTACCTTTCTAGTGACCGAAGCACGAGCCGACTCGTATGAATGCACCGGCAACCATCCAAACCCATGAAAGTCGCCTGATGTTACGTCGACAATGGCTAAACCCCCGGAATGTTTCTTAAATAAGCGTGGCAAGTTGCTGCTATTCACGTGTATCGATGAATTTCAGGCGGCGGCGATAAATTGTCGTGAC